GAGGGGAGAGCGAGAGGAGATGCAGGGGGGAGGGGCGAGCGAGATGCAGGGGTGCCCAGGCTCCTCTGCCCGCCCCCTCACTCTGATCCTACACAGTGCAAGCCCGGAAAGGGACGATGCAGGTTCCATCAAGGACGTTGGTGATTGATAGAAATGGGCTTTGAAAGGTGTGTGGGAGTTCACCATGTCCTTCCCTCAGGATCCTTCTGAACTCTGAACGGCTCAAGTCGCGAATTGCGGAGATACATGAGAGTCGCACAAAACTGGAGCAAGACCTGCGGGCACAGGCCTCAGACAACCGTGAGATCGACAAGCGCATGAACAGCCTCAAGCCTGATCTCATGCAACTGCGCAAGATCAGAGACCAGTACCTTGTGTGAGTGGCTAGCGCCATACTTCCAGTTCCATCCACCAGGGGGCGTTCCTGCCGGTCTGCACCATGCAAGTGCTGCTTGTCCACCAGGGGGCGCACGCGCACCGGTTCTCTAGAACCCTGCAGTTGAGCTAATGCCTTTTTCCCTAGATTAATTTTATTCTATGTATATGAGTGTTTTGCCTGCATGTAGGAGGACCTGTGTCATGCAATGCCTGTGGATCCCCTAGAACTGGAGTTACAGTCGGTTGTTAGCCACCACGTGGGTGCTGGGAACCAAACCGAGATCCTCTACAATAGCCAGTGCTCTTAACCACTGAGCCATCTCTCCAGCCCCAATTTAGTTAACTTAGGCAGTTGTAAGCACTCTACCACTGGGGAAACAGAAGGCCCAAGGCACAGTTGGAAGGCCGCAGCAGCACCCTGCAGCCCTCTCACTGGGCCTCTTGTGTGATGGCAGTGAGCTGAACAACCAGGGCCTTGATGGGCCCATAGAGCAGAGGAGCACACTGGGGTACCCGAAGTCCCCTGTTCTGGATGGCAGGGTATTGTACCCCACCCACCCAGGCCTCCTGAGCTCTGGACAGGCACACCCTCAGTTTCCCCTCCAGCTGACCTGCTTTTCCCTCCCAGGTGGCTCACCCAGAAGGGCGCCCGGCAGAAGAAAATCAATGAGTGGCTGGGAATCAAAAATGAGACAGAGGAGTGAGTGACCTCTAGAGGGAAGGGGTAGGAGGGCTCTGGAGAAGGGGGCCATTTGCATTGGACCTTGGATGAATAGGGGTTCACCGGTGTGCCACCTGTGCATGCATGATGGGCTGTTCTTCTGCCTCCTCCACAGCCAGTATTCCCTGATGGAGGAGGAGGATGACCTCCCTCACCACGAGGAACGCACATGGTACGTGGGCAAGATCAACCGCACCCAGGCGGAAGAGATGCTGAGCGGGAAGCGTGACGGGACGTTCCTCATCCGTGAGAGCAGCCAGCGGGGCTGCTATGCCTGCTCCGTGGTGTGAGTGCCCAGAGCAAGCATTGAGCACCTACTGTGTGTAGGGTCTTGGGGAACCCAGCCTGGAGGAAGTGCCCAGGGCTCCCCTCTAACCCCAAAGGCAGGCAGCAGGGCTACAGAGGATGGGAGAGCCAGGCCTGGGTGCCCCTCTGAGCACCCCCATCTCTGCCTCACAGGGTGGACGGTGACACCAAGCATTGTGTCATCTACCGCACAGCCACCGGTTTTGGCTTTGCAGAGCCTTACAACCTGTATGGATCGCTGAAGGAGCTGGTGCTGCACTACCAGCACGCATCCCTCGTGCAACACAACGATGCTCTCACGGTCACCCTTGCCCACCCTGTACGTGCCCCAGGGCCAGGGCCCCCAGCTGCCCGCTGAGTACCCCTCATCAGGCCATCGAGGCTCTCCATCTCCCCTGTTTTTCTGTGTCTCCCTGGTTACCCCCTGATCCTCCACCTTCCCTCTGCAGGTCCCTACTGTCCCCAGAGGGCCCCACCCCCACCAGCTACACCTGCCATGTTTACAGAGGCTGGGGGGGCCATGAGCCTGGGCCGTCAGATTTTTTTTAAAGCCATAGTTCTGGGGTCAGGGCAGGAAGGAACTGTGCTGGGCTGCTTCCAGAATCTTCAGCTGGGACATTGGGGGCTGGGCGGGACCCACCCCACAGACCCCAACTTCCTCCTCAAAGGTCGAAGTGAAACCAACCACCAGGGCCAGGGAGTTACCCCACAACTGCCGAGAAGTACCCCATCAGAAAACAGAATTAGATACCAAGCCCAGGGCCGGCCTGCTGCACCCAGGGTCTCCAATCATGTTGGCTTTGATTTTCCCCTGACTGCAATCTCTTCTTTTTTGGACAAGAGCCCTGAGTTTGTCACCTCCCTTGGACCCCATGCCTGCCTGGGGCGACTGGGCAGTAGGTTTTGTACGGTACGTTTATTAATAAGAATCTGAAACATTGAACCTTGGGCCTAGTGTCTTTGGGGACTGGGAGTCTGTCTCGGGGGTCATGCATGGGGGTCTATCTGAACCACCTCTCATTTTACTTCCTTGGCACTAACTGGTGTTTTTCCTCCTATCTCTGGAGACCAGAGAGGTTAAGATCCTTGTCCAAGGTCACATAGCTCCCCATGGTACTCTCACCTCTGCCCCCAACCCTGGCCTTTCTCAGGACTCCCAGACCCAAGAACAGTCCCTCTCAACTACCAGAGTTCCAGGCTGCTTGCCTCACCGCAGGTCTGAGCCCTTGGCCAATCACCAGCTGTGTACCCTCAAAGTCACCCCCACTCCCATCATGCACAGCTTCCTCACTGGGAAGACTTGCTGTCATCCTCTCACCAGCCCAGAGGGTGGCTCTTGTCCCTGATTTTGATGCCAAGGCGAGGCCCTGCCCTGACCCAGCACATCTGAGGTTGAGCAAGTCCCCAGGCCTTGTGCTCTGAACACACAGCTCTGAACACAGTGCTACCCCACCCATTCTGTCCCCAACCACTGCCTGGGACCGGAATACAGCAAGGATTTTTGCTTCTAAGATAATGCTACTCGGGTGGCCTCAAAACTGCAATCCTCCTGCCTCTGTTTTTTGAGTACCAGGAATCCAGCCCCTGCCCTTTTCTGTTTGCCCATGGGCACCTCAGAATGAATGAGTGAATGGTGAGGATGAGTGGAAACAGCTGGCCTCTGACCCAACCTCTGTAGGCCCAGTTCCCCTCCCAGTCCCTAAGAATGCCCAGGAGGTCACCTAGGAATAGTCCAGAAGATTCCAGCTTGTGATACCAGAGCTGGGAACCTGAGGCAGGAGGATGGTGGGCTGGGTGTCAGTCTGGAGGACCTGAAGAAACAGCTCAGGTAGAGCCCCTGCCTAGAATCCCCCAGTGGGGGGCTGGGGGCATGGCTCAGGGGTAGAGTCCCTGCCTAGAATCCCCTAGGGAGGGGCTGGGGCCATGGCTCAGAGGTAGAGTCCCTGCCTAGAATCCCCCAGTGAGGGGCTGGGGGCATGGCTCAGGGTAGAGTTGAGCAGCCAATGTAATGCTGAGTCCCAGCCTAGCACTGCTAAACAAAGCAGGTAGGCAGGCTTGGGCTTTGATCTGCTCAGGTAGCAGCTCACGGTGTATGGACTCCAGGTTAACTACAGCCCCTCACTTGGCTACTGTCTGTTCCTGTACAATGATCAGGGTCTTTCCAGCACTGGATTGGATCCTGTTCAACACAACCATCTGGAGCTTGATCTCCCAGTCAGACAGATGGGCACATTTCTTTCTGCAGATGGTCTTTGATGGTATTTCAGTGTCCCTGGGTTTTTCCCTGTCTTCAGCCCCTATCAAGCATTGCTGTCCAGCCCCATCCCAGCCTGAGACATTTCTGAGCCCTTCCTGGTTGCTTTGTTCTCCCACTTGTCATTCATGCTCCCATCTTACAGAGAGGAAAACTGAGACTAGGTAACTAAAAGATCTTGGAACTCTCGCATTCAGTCTCAGAGTCATGGTGCCTCCCTCCTACCCTGTGTGGCTCCTCAGGCCAGGAATCTCCACCCTGAGACTGCCAAAAAAAGGAACCCTAAGCCATAGACTTGGAGATGGCCCTCCCTGCCCGCTTCTGTTCTGCAGTCCAGCCGTCTAGCTCAGCATGAGATAAAAGGGCTGGATTTCCAGGCCTGAGGGGCAGAGGGGCCATGAGCTAATCCAGGACTCTCCCCACCCCTGCTGTGCCAAAGAGATGGCTAAAGTTTGCATAGCCCCTGAGGCCTTGAAAACACTAGCTACACCCCTAGACCAAGTCCAGCTGCACCGGATGATTGGGTCCGAAGGCCAGGGACAGGCCTGGATCGCCCTAGAGGCCCAGGATAGAAACAGCTGGATGCAATGACACTTCTCTGCGTCCCTCAGCCTGACTGTAATTCAGGTTCCCACCTGACCTGGGAATCCAAGGGGGGGCGGGGCAAGGAAGGACAAGGAGAAGGGCCCTGGCCTTGTGATGTGATTTGGGACGCGGCTTCGGCTGGGGTTCAACGGACCGAGGAAGGAGGCCCAGGGCTAGAAGGGACCTTGGAAAGGTGCGAGGGGCGTGGCATTGGGGGCGTGGCATTGGGGGAGTGGCCTCTGCGTGGTTAAAGCCTCCGCCCGCGCCCAAGGCAGCTCCAGCTGTCTTGCCCGCCTTTCTCTCCGCGGTCATGCCCCGGTCTCCGTTCTTGCCGCCGCCGGCGCTGCTGCTGCTGCTGTTGCTTCTCGAAGTCCCCGGAGCTGCGAAGGCCTCCCCATTGCAAGCGTTCTCCGCGGGGACGGCCACCTGCAAGGTACGGTCGGGGACACTCAGGAGGGGACGGAAGGCCACGCGCCGTGTCCGCGCAGGCACTTCCCCACTCCGTGAGCTCATTCGGGGAAATCCACGGTCCCCAGGGAACGCTGTCCCTCCCCTCCCCCGTGCCGCTACCGCCACCCATCCCCGGACCCTGGGCTTCGCGCCCAATTTGTTTTGCTTCCTCCGTGTCTTGAGACCCGAAGCTGTCCATGCTCGCCCCTGCCTGAGCATTTATTAACCATCTACGGTGTACGTCTGGGCCAAGGGCCGGTGGGGGGGTGGGTTTCCACTCCACACCTGTTGAGCCACTGCCGGTCTCCACCTGCGCGTAATTATTATCGCTTACTGTGTGCATTCCAGCAGAGAAGGCGGGCAGGCATGCTCCTGACAAGTAGCAAACACATGCCCCGCACGCCGAGAGCCTTGCTCAGGCTCTGGCCCGCCCGCCGCCCCTCCGCAGAAGCCGGAAGTCTGCATTTATTAGGCACCGCCTCTACCTAGTCTGTCATGGGGCTGGGTGAGGCTCCCCTGGGTCCCTGGAGAGGAAGAATAAATAATCTGCGTGGGTGCAACGCCGCCTCGGCTCAGTCACGAAACGACAAGAAATGAACATGCATTAGGCTCAGACAAGGTTGAGAGCAGTGACTAGAAATACACGTGTCTTGAGCACTTATTGTATGCAGACCTGCTAGGAAAGGGGTTTCCGCTTTGTTTGGAGGGGAAGCAAGAACTGCATACATTGAGCGCCTACTGTTTACAAGCCTCCCTGTTTCCTATTTGCAGATAACCGAGATTGCAGGTCTTCACCGCAGTTTCCCAGTGGACTTGGGGGTGTGGCTCAAAAGGAGAGCTTGCAGAGGAAGCAAAGACTTGGGTTCCTTCTCTAGCTGTTGTGTCATTCCAGTACTTGGGGAGGCAGAGGCAGGAGAATGTCTCTGAGTTCCAGGCCAGCCTGAGCTACATAGTGAGAACCTGTCTTAAAAAAATAAAATAAAAGGGCCAGGCGTGGTGGCACACGCCTTTAATCCCAGCACTTGGGAGGCAGGCGGATCTCTGTAAGTTTAAGGCCAGCCTGGTCTACATAGTGAGTTCCAGGCCAGCTGGGGCTACGGGGAGACCATCTCAAAAAGACAAAAGTAAGTAATAGCAGTCTGAGAGCAGAGCCGCCCGCCGGCTGCACCTCACCCCTACTCTTCCCTGCTTTCCAGGCCCACGATCTGTGCCTTCAGGGGCCGCGTCCTGAGCCCCAGGCACCACTGGTCAATGTCAGCCTGTACTATGAGTCTCTGTGTGGAGCATGTCGCAGCTTCCTAGTCCGAGACCTGTTCCCTACCTGGCTGATGGTGCTTGAAATCCTCAACGTCACCCTGGTGCCCTACGGAAATGCACAGGTGTGTGGGGAAACTGAGGCGGGCTGGGGCAGGGCAGGGGACACTGGTCATCATGCACAATCACCACCATCCTGTTGCAGGAAAGAAACGTGAGCGGCACATGGGAATTCACATGCCAGCATGGGGAGCTGGAGTGTAGACTGAACATGGTGGAGGTGAGCAGGATGCCAGGCCTGGGGCACAGGGACTGGGGAAGGCTTGGGGGGAGGGCACATGTCCACTCAGGACCCCAAACTCCCCTGCCTGTCTGCCACACCAGGCCTGCATCCTGGACAGGCTGGGAAGAGATTCGGCTCTCCTGACCATCGTATGCCTGGAGGAGTTGGAAGACATGGAGAAAAACCTCAGACCGGTGAGGCAGGCCCAGCCAGGGCAGAGCCATAGGTGGGCCCTGTGCTTCCCCCCAACCCACTCCCACCCTCACTAACACCCCCGCAACCCAGATGCCAGTGCCACCAGTGCTGGGAGGGCAGCCTTTTGTCATCCCAAGCACACAGGAGGCTGAGGCAGAGGATTGCAGGGTCTGACACCAGACTGGGGTACAGAATGAGATTCTGTCTCAAAATAGAGCAGAACCCAGGTGTGGTGGCTCACGCCTTAAATCCCAGCTCTTGGGAGGCAGAGACAGGTGGATCTCTGAGTTTGAGGCCAGCCTGGTCTACACAGCAAGTTCCAGGCCAGCTGGGGCTACATGGAGACCCTATCTCAAAAAAAAAAACAAACAAACAAACAAAAAAAAACTCTTCTCTGGAACTTTCCATCTGATTTCATTTTTTTGTTAATGGTGAAGATGGAACTCAGGGCTTTCCATATGGCAGGCATGAATGCAACTCCTGAGCCATGCCCCAGCTCCTCACTGGGGGATTCTAGGCAGGGGCCTCTACCCCTGAGCCATGCCCCAGTTCCTCACTGGGGGATTCTAGGCAGGGGCCTCTACCCCTGAGCCATGCCCCAGCTCCTCACTGGGGATTCTAGGCAGGGGCTCTACCTCAGAGCCACATCCCTAATTCTAAGCAGCTTCCATATCTGAATGAAGGAAGCCTGGATTTGTAGGTCGTAGCTGAGTGAATCAGGGTTGCTCTGAAAGAGCCGTCTGTGCGCTGCACCTGGAACCCTCAGCATGAATGGTCTGTGCCGGACACAGACCAGGTACGCAGTTATAAGCCAGGGTTTCCTACTCCCCTAGGCTTTATAAGGAATGAACTCCCAGGAGGCTGGAGAGATGGCTCAGTGGTTAAGAGCACTGGGTGCTCTTTCAGAGGACCTGGATTCAGTTTAACACCCTCTTCTGACTTCCTCAAGCATTGTATATATGCAGGCAATACACTCATATGCATGAAATAAAAATAATAAAACATAAAAAATAAAAAGAGAAATGAACTCCCAGAGGGGTGTCCCATCCCTTCCCCTTTCCTGCCCCCCATAGCTTATTGGTCATCAGCATCTTCCCACCGAGTGCCTGTCGGACATTCTCAGCCCTTCTTGGGTAGGACTGAGAGGTGAAATGTTCTGATGATGATATACCAGAGAGAGTACAGAATTGGTATTACAGAGGAGGTTCCTGAACCTCCACTCAGGCATAAATTGGGTACCAACTGTTTATAGACACTGCCATGTGACTATCAAACTGTCTCCTCCCACTGATGAGGAAACAGGCTCTGCTGGGGGGTCACCTGGGAACCGTTGGGGAGATAACAGAGAGGAACTGACCTAGCCTCCTCTTGCTCCTCCTCACAGTGCCTGGAGCTATATGCCCCAGATGTGTCGCCAGACAGCATCATGGAGTGTGCCACGGGGGAGCGGGGCATACAGCTTATGCACATCAACGCCCAGCTCACGGATGCCCTGCAGCCGCCACATGAGTATGTGCCCTGGGTCCTTGTCAATGAGGTAAGAACTCTTCAGCCAGCCCCAGGAACTGAGTCAGTTAAGCATCTGCTGCAAGGGTGGCAAGGTCTGGGTTCGAATCCCCAGGTCTCATGTAAAAAAGCTGGTGTGCTCCTGTAGGCTTGTAATCCTAACACTGAGGAGGCAGAGACAGAGGGATCCCTGGGGCTCCATGTTCAGTCAGTGTAGCTGAATCAGTGATCTCCAGGGTCAGTGAGACACACTGACTCTAAACACAAGGTGGGGACACTGAGTGAGTGAAACACAGTGTTGATGTCAGGCCCCCACACATACACAACACACAACAGACACACATATATAATATACCACATGCAACACACAGCACACACATACAGCACACACAACACATACACTACACACACATATACTACACACATGACACCCACCCACTACACAGGACACACACCATATACACATACCACACTCACACTCATTGTACATATACATACACTCACACTCATTCACACACAAGGTGTCCTAGTTTGTTTCTCCACTGCTGTGACAAAATACTCTGACCAATACCAACTTGGGGAGGAAAGGGTTTATTCAGCTTACATATCCTGGGTCACAGTTCATCCAGGAGCCCAAGGTAAGAACTCAGGGCAGGAACCTGGAGGCAGGAGCTGGACACAGGCCATGGAGGAACACTGCTTACTGACTTGCTCCCCTGGCCCCTGCTCAGCCTTCTTTCTTATGCAATATAGGCCCACCTGCCCAGGGGTGGCGCCACCCACAGTAGGCTGGGCCCTCCCACATCACTCAACAATCAAGAAGGTGCCCCACAGACTTGGCCACAGGCCAGTCCAATGTAGGCAATTCCCTAATTGAGGCTACCTCAACCCAGGTGTGTCAAGTTGACACTAAAGCTATCCAGCACACAAGGTATATGCACACATACCACACACACAGTCATACACACTTGCATACTCACAAACATGCACACAAACTCACACAGGCACGTGTACACATGCTGTTCAGGAAAGTGCTGTGTCCTTACTGACCTGGGATGAGACCTGGAACTGCCAGCATCTTGTCCCTCTGCAGTGCTGGGATCACAGCCCAACACCATCCTGAAGTGTTCTTCTCCACATTTTTTAAGAGAGTTTTAATTTTTTAAATTATGTGTATGTAGCTGGGTGTGGTGGCGCACATCTTTAATCCCAGCACTCGGGAGGCAAAGGCAGGCACTTGTGACTTCGAGGCCAGCCTGGTCTACATAGTGAGTTCCAGAGCAGCTGAGGCTACAGGGAGACCCTGTCTAAAAAAGATTAAAACAAAAAAAAAATTACATGTATATGTGGGTCTGTATGTATGTATGTTTATGAGTGTGTGTGTATGTATATGTGCATGTGTGTCTGTTTGTGTGCCTGGGAGAATAGGTGCCCCCAGAGGCAGTAAGTGTCAGATCCTCAGGAGCTGGACTTCAGGCAGTTGTGAGCTGCCATTATGGGTTCAGGGAAGGGCACCCCAGTCCTCGGCGAGAGCAGTGTGTACTCTAAACCTCTGAGCTGTCTCTCCAGTCCCCTTTTTGACCCTTTATCTTGCTTTTTCTTAGAAACCTCTGGAGGATCCCAGCCAGCTCCTGAGCCTAGTCTGCCAGTTATATCAGGTAAGCTGGGCACCAAACAATGGGATTCAGCTGGTGGGAATGGAGTCTCCCTACAGAATTCCAATCCCTACCCTTCCCCCTTCAGGGCAGAGAGAAGCCCGACATCTGCTCCTCTATGGCTGACCCCCCCAGGGAGGTGTGCTATAAGTGAAGGTCGGTGCTTATGACTGAAGATCATTGTCCCAGGACGAGCAAGAGTCCAGCTGCACCACTTTATCCAATCCCTAACCCTCACGAGATTCTGTCTATCAACTGAGAAATTTCTACACATTTTATAAAACCCAGACTCACAATCCCACCTCAAAATCAAGAATCTTCCCTTTTTGCTAATGGTGCTAAATTTAAATTCATTAAATAAATGGTTTTGATTGCTATGATTCATTTTTCCTGGAGAGCCAAGCAGGGAGGTGTACACAAATGATCCCAGCACCCAGGATACAAAGGCAGGTGGAGCTTTGTGAGATTGAGGCCAGCCTGGTCTACATATGAAACTCTGGGTCAGCTGAGGCCACAGGGAAACTCTGTCTCAAAAAATCAGAACCAAAAGCAAACAAAACCCTCACATTTTCCCTGGAGTTTTAGTTTCCTTTTTTTTTTTTTTTAAATGTGGAGATATGGCTGGAACTCAGGCAGGGCTCTGAACATACTCAGAATACATTCTGCCCAGGAGCCACACCCTTAGCCTCTAGAGTTTGTGGTTCATTTGAGAAGTTAGCAAGTGCCTCTCTTTTTTGTTGGTGTGACAAAAATACCTGACAAAAACAATTGAGGAAGAGTTTTGGCTCACAGTTGTGGTTTATCACAGCAACAGTCCCCCTCCTGGTACCTATTTTCTTAGTTTTTTTATTTTATCATTTCATGTGAGTGTATTTCCTGCATGTATGTGACTGTATTGCCTGCATGCATGTAAGTGCACCTATGTCATGCAATGCCTGGGAGGTCAGAAGAGGACATTGTATCCCCTGAAACTGGAGTTACAGACAGTTGTTAGCCATCATGTGGGTGCTGGAAATTGAACCTGGGTCCTCTGCAAGAGCAGCCGGTGTTCTTAACAGCTGAGCCATCTCTCCAGCCCTGTTAGTTTTCTTGTTGTGATAAAATACTCCAACAAAAGCAACCCAAAGAAAGAAGGGCACCTTTCGGCTCACAGTTTGAGGGTCCAGTCCATCATGGCGGGAAGTCAAGGCAGGAGCTTGGGGAAGCCACACACTTTGTCCACAGTCAAAAAGCAGGGGGATGAATGCTGGTGTTCTGCTTTGCCTAATCAAGACCTCAGCCCACAGGATGGTGCTGTCCAAGTTCAGGGTGTATCCTCCCACCTCTATTAATGTAATCAAGAGACTCTCTCTCAGGCACACCCAGAGCCTGTCTCCTAGGTGACTCTGGATCCTGTCGTTTTGACCATGTGCTGGATAGCTTTAGTGTCAACTTGACACACCTGGGTTGAGGGAGCCTCAATCAGGGAATTGCCTCTACTGGACTGGCCTGTGGCCATGTCTGAGGGGCATCTTCTGAAGAGTGATGTGGGAGGGCCCAGCTCACTGTGGGTGGTGCCACCCCTGGGCAGGTTGGCCTGTGTTGCATTAGAAAGCAGGCTGAGCAGGGGCCAGGGGAGCAAGCCAGTAAGTAGAGTTCCTCCATGGCCTGTGCTCCAGCTCCTGCTTCCAGGTTCCTGCCCTGAGTTCCTACCTTGAGTTCCCTGATGAACTGAGACCTGGGAGATGTAAGACAAATAAACCCTTTCCTCCCCAAGTTGGTATTGGTCAGAGTGTTTTGTCACAGCACTGAAGAAACAAACTAAGACAGACCATATTAACCCTCAGGACTTTTGATGCCTTGAGAGGTCTTAGCACAGGGGTCTCTGAGGCACTCTGTCCAGGATATACGGAGCTAAACCTCCCTCTAGTTTGACCAAGCCAGGGATGGACCACGGGAGGGAACAGGGAGGGAGGAGGGGTTGTATGTGTGAAGTATCTACATAGGGAAAACAGGCATTGAGGGTTGGGTTTGGAAGGCTGGGTAGGAGTTTAAGTAGAACAGACTCATGGATTCACCTCTAGCCTACAGCGCAGATGAAACATGGAGTCAGAGGACCCAGAGGAACCTGGGCCAGAACAGGACCCAGGATGGAGCAGAGACTTCATCTGGGGTCCGTGGAAGTGAGAGTGTCCTGGGCCAGCAGGAAAATCCTGAGCCAGAATTCCAGTCTGGGAATCTGAGACTAATTAAAGTGAATTTTGGAATGGTTAAAAACAAAAGAAGTTAGGATGTTAGTTTCTGCAGCAACACTAAACTGCCGTGAAAAATTCAATTATAGATAGGCAAGCCAGGCCCAGTGGCAGGAGGTGGGGGTAGGATGACCAGGAGTTCAAGGCCAGCCTGGGCTACATAAGACCCTGACTCACACAGGGAGGACAGGAATGCATGCTTCGCACAGACAGCGGGCTGGTGTGAAGATTATTCAGGAACAGGCGAAGGTCAAGCTAAGGTCTAGGTCTACCACCTCCGAACTGGACTCAGAGCAGTGTAGCTACTCCGCACCTCGACCCGCCCACTCCCAGGAGGCCTAGGGCGAAGACAGGGTCCGAGCTCAAGCGGGTGGCCTCAGGTTGGTGGCTGCTGAGCTAATTAGTGTCACGAGGCTCTCGATTGGCCAGGTCGGCTCAGGGATTGGGACGCTGGGATCAATCCTGGAGATGCCGCTCTAGCGCTGGTGGGCAGGCCTCGCTTGTCCATTGGTCCGTTAAGGACAGAAAACCGGTGGGGAAGTCAACGCCGGACTTCCGCGCTCAGTGTGCGTGACGTACACCAGCGCTTGTCCACGATTGGTCTGCGGGTTCGGGAGGCGGGCTAGGTGCACACCTGAATCTGATTGGCTAGAACTGCACCGTGCAGTGAAAGACGGTCCGCGATTGGCCCAGACAGCCTGGCTTGTGATTGGTCTGTTTCGAGTTGGACATGTGATTGGCTGTCTTGGGCTGGGCGTGGTGCAAGCGGCGCGGGTCCGGGACAGCTCGGTGCTGGCTGCGGCTATGGCGCATCGGTGGCGCTGGGCTCGGGCGTTGTTGGCGGCAGCGCGGCCGCTATTTCGGGGCCGCGTGCTGCTCGTCACCAATACGCTGGGCTGCGGCGCGCTGATGGCGGCGGGCGACGGCGCGCGCCAGGCCTGGGAGGTGCGCGCGCGGCCGGGACAGGGATTCAGCGCGCGGCGCTCGGGTGAGCGGGACCTGCATGCCGCGGGAGGGACCCGACGGTCAGCCGGAGACTCGGTCAGCAGGAGGGACCTGACAGTCAGCCGGAGGGTCCTGTTAATCTGCTGGTGGAACCCGACAGCCGGAGGGACCCGTCAGTGAGCGGGGGGCACCTCACAGTCAGCCCGGAGGGACCGGACTGTCAGTCGGGGGAAGCTATCGGTCAACCTGAGGGTCCTGTCAATCAGCCAGATGGTACTGTCAGTCAGCCGGAAGGACCCGTCAGTTAGCCAGAGGGCCTTGTCAGTCAGCGGGAAGAATCCGTCAGTCAGCCAAGGACCGGACAGTCAGCCAGAGGGACCTGTCAATCAGCCGGAAGGGATCGGTCAGCCCGAGGGACTGGCATCCAGCCTGGCAAGCCCTACCTTGACTGTCCCCTGTCCCCAGCCAGCATGTTCGCGGTGGGCTGCAGCATGGGCCCCTTCCTGCACTTCTGGTACTTGTGGCTGGACCGTCTCCTGCCTGCCTCAGGCCTGCAAGGTCTCCCCAGTGTCATGAAGAAGGTCCTGGTGGATCAAGCGGTGGCATCTCCCATACTGGGTGTCTGGTACTTTCTGGGTAAGCCGAGAGTCCAGAGGCAGCAGGGCCAGCTTTGTATTAAGAGGGGTGGTGTTATTATTTATGATTTTATTTTGTTATCTATTTATTTAAGACAAGGTCTCATGTAGCTCCCAACTGAGGAATAACCCAGCTGCTTTTCATTGGTTTTTGAGACATGGTCCTGATTTCATTGGGAGAGTGTGTGTGGTGTCACACACCTTTGACCCCAGCACTCAGGAGGCAAAGGCAGATGGATCTCTGTGAGATTGAGGTCAGTGTGGTCTAGAGACCATAGTGAGTTCCTGGCCAGCTGGGGCTATGAGAGACCATCTCAAAACAAACAAAAATACCCTAACAGAAAGCAATTTAAGGGAAGGAATTTATTTCATCTTACAGTTCCAGATTACAGCCCAGTCATTGTGGGGAAATCAAAGCAGGAACTCACATCACAGCAGCAGTCAGGGGCAGAGGTATGAATGCATGACACTTGCTTGTGGGCAGTGACATCTAGCACCATCCTCTCATACAGTCTAGGACCCCCTGCCTAGGGAATGGTAATGCCCACAGTTAATTAAGACAGTCCCCACACACATGTCACCAGCCAACCAATCCCTCACTGACACCCTCATAGATTCTAGGCTGTGTCAAGTTGACAAAGCTGACGCCCTGAGAGGGTCTCACTACTAGGTAGCTGCAGCTGGTGCAGAACTCACAGGAATCCTCCTCCCTCTGCTACCCAAGAGCTTCAAGCAGGTTTTCTCTGTAGCCCCAGCTGGCCTGGAACTTGCTATGTAGACCAAGCTGGCCTCAAACTCACAGAGATCCACATGCTTCTGCCTCCTGAGCGCTGGGAGTAAAGGCATGGGCCACCACGTCTAGCATGAGCTGCATTTTTGATGTGGCTCTTCTGCTGGTAATCCTGGACTAGGGATCCCACGACCAGGGGGCTGGGACAGACCCTCAGGAGCCAGAGGTGCTGGGGGCAGCTGGGGAGGGCTGCAGGGGTGAGGACAGTGTCTGAGGGGGTAAGGCAGGCCTGGAGGGAATCTGCAGGGCCAGTAGAGGAGCCTGAGGACTGGCAATGATGGGTGTGTACATGTTCTGGCAAGAGTGAGGGCTGATTGAGCTTCTCCCCTCCGGGCTTGGCTTCCTCCTCTGGCTCACGTGGCCATCCATTCTCATAACTAACTTGCTCAGATGGTTCCCCATTCTCCGCCACCAGCCTGGTGTCTCAGCTGACCAGCCCTGGCACTCTGCCTGGGATACTGTCTCTCAGTGGGCAGCCCTTCCTGAGGCCCTCCCTCAGCCTCAGCCCATTCTGTCTCCATGGTGCCTTGGCCTTTTACATTCTTTCTTGGTCTTCTTCCCAGGCCTTGGCAGCCTGGAGGGCCAGACTCTGGAAGAGAGCTGCCAGGAGCTGCGTGACAAGTTCTGGGACTACTACAAGGTGGGCGTGCCCGTTTAGGCCCCGCCCCTCACTAGTCTCGCGGGACACGCCCACCACAAAGCCACCCCAACCAGCTTTTTAGCCCTACCCACTCTAGAGCGGTCCAACCTCAGACCCTTGGCTCCGCCCAATGACTGTTCTCAAAGGTTCTGCGGCCCTTCACCGAAGCCCTGCCCCCCCTTTGCCCCTTCCAGGCAGACTGGTGCGTGTGGCCTGCAGCGCAGCTGGTGAACTTCCTCTTTGTGCCTTCCCACTTTCGAGTCACCTACATCAACGGGCTGACACTGGGTTGGGACACATATCTATCCTATCTAAAGTACTGGGTGAGTACCGGGTGCTGGGCCTGTGCCGGTGGGGCCTGGCTTCCGCAGGCATCTGCCCCAGACAACTGGAGGGAACTCCAGGGGACTTGGAGGCTCTGCCCCCAAGTGACCAGCGCCTCTGTATGGACAGGCTCCCCGACCCCCTGACGGTCCAGGCTGCGTGGCCCTAGGCACCAAAAGAGACTGAGCTGCAGCTGCACGCCGATGCCTGGCACGGAGCAACGGACATCCTCCCACAGGGAACGGACTAAAGCAGACTAGGGCTCTGGGCTCCCAACCGCAGCAGGACTCCAGGCATAGTCACTTGAGTCTACACGAGGCCTCAGTTCTCCCATCTGCAACACTGCCAGCAACACGGACCTTCAGGCCCGATGCTTTCCAATGGGAGCCAAATGTGACCCAAGACCAAGATGTCCTGAGCCCAGGGCACCACCAGCCAGCCATCTCCAAAACCCAGCAGGGCCCTGAGCCAAGTGGCCACCCCTAGCAAGGACATGGCCCATTGCCTTGCATTGGGGTCTGGCCTGGAGTCAGCTCCAAAAACCTTTACCGAAGGCTGTGTAGTGCTGTGGACATTCCATTAAATTATCTCTAATTACAACTCAGGCTGCCAGTGTCCTTCCAGCAAGTGGAACCAAAGGGAAAACGGGGTGGGCTAGAGGACCCTTGGAGGGTGGGGCCAGACACATATGCCCCTCATGGGAGGGCACCTGGGCACACAGTAAGGTTCATTCACTTTATTAGAACTGTGTGTAGTGTTCATGTTTCCTAGGGGAGTAGGGGACACATTTGACACTCATGACATCAGAAAGGTTTGGGGGTATCCCAGGGTAGTGATTAACACAGGGCACCCCACCTACCCCAAAACACAAATTAGTATTGGGGGAGAAGAGCCAGGCAAGCAGGATGCCAGACTCCTAACCCCAGTGGTCCACACAGAGGTCACCCTGCCATGGGGCTGGCAGGCCCTACCTCCTACCATTGGCTGGAGGTGACATCTGCACCCCCCCCCCACTTCACAACTGACAACTGTGGATGGGGGCAGTTTACAAAAAAAAAGAAAAAAGAGGTGGGGAGGTCTCCAAAGGAGGGCAAGCAGTGACCAGGGCACTCCACGACAGGGCAGGGGCAGGTGTATGTACAGGAAGGGAGGAGGGGAGGGGCGCCCAGGGGACATCTTCAATAAATAAATAGCTACGATAATAAATAGGGTGATGGGTAGGGGGCTCACTGGGGGGGGCGCTGGCAGGGTACTCTCAGCAGGCACAGTCCTGGTGGGGAGGTGCCTGCTGGTCAGTGAGCTGAGGGCCCTGCTTGGCACCTGTGACTGCAGGGTCAGCTGTGTCCAGTGACTCTGACATCTTCTCACAGATGACGTCCACCAGCCGCTCAAAGGTCTGCTTGACATTAATGTTGTCCTTGGCGCTGGCCTCAAAGAACTCGAATCCTGTGTCCATACATTAGGAGTGACCAGAGGGCTGGACCTTCCAACCCCAGCCCAGAGCCCCTTCTCTGAGGGACAGTCCCCACCCAGCCCAGTGCTTTAAAGTCACTGACAAGACCTAAGGAAGACACAGGAATGGGTGAGCCTTTATAGACCATCCTTCCCTCCAGCCCAAACTGTCACCCTGGCCAGACACGCCATCTTGCCACCCAGCCCTGCCCCAGACTCTGGTTCCAGGCTTCTCACCGAAAAACCCAACTGTGCCAAAACAACCAACCCCCCACCATGATTCCCTATTGCTACCAGAATTATGGGCCTCTCCCCATGTTTCCTCTAGGGGGCACTCACACCCCACCACCAGAACCCAAGATCTAACTCTGCCCTTTGCCTGATGGCTCTGTTAGCAGGCCCTTAGACCTTCACCTGCCAGATGTGCTGTACCCTCCTACCACTCACCCAGGTGATCAGCCAGCTGCCGGCCCCGCTCAGAGGATACCACCCGCTCATCCTCCATGTCACACTTGTTTCCCACCAGCAGCACTTGGGCATTGTCCCAAGAGTAGGTCTTGATCTGGGTGGACCTGCGGGATGTGCAAGAGGCCAAGGTGGATGTTAGCCACCAAGACCTGCCCCAAGGCCCCAATATACCCCATGCTCTTAACTGAGACAGGCTGTGCCCATCCAGCCCAAGTTGTTCCAGAGCCCTCCATCCCCTGCCTCAGCCTCCCAAATGCTGGGATGTCTAGTGTACATCACATATCTATTTTGGGGCTCCCACATCACATCACTAGTTTCTTTGGGGCTGGAGATGACCCAGGTTCTCACACATGCTAGGCAAGTGCTCTGCAGGTGAGTCACACCCCAGGCCTCTACATCTGCTGCCCAGGCTGGTCTCAATCACTTGGGCTCCTGTTTTGGCCTGATGAGCTGGGCTGCCATGCCTGGCTGGGTAGAATGTTGAAATGTGTACAGATAGGGTTGTAGCACAGTGGGACAGCTCTTGTCCAGCTTGTTGGAGACCTGTGTTCCTTCCCCAGTATCCCCAATAAAGAAAAGACTTCATACCCTGTGTGGTGGCACACACCTCTTTAATCCCTACACTTGAAAGGCAGAGGAAGGTAGATTGCTGTGAGACAGAGGCCAGCCTGGTCTACACAGCAAGTTCTAGGCCAGTGAGGGCTACAGGGAGACTGTCTCAAAAAGACAAAAAAAAAAAAAAAAAAAAAAAAAAAAAAAAAGCAAGCTTCATAACCCCAAAGTCATATAAGCTGTCCCACCCCACTCCAGATTCATTGTTGTTTTTTGGACATCCTGGGGATACAAGGTTATACGTTTACCAACTTAGCTACAAACACTACCAATAGACCCCAGCCCCAGCTCCCTTGAGTTTCACCTTTTCCATCTGAAATGTTTTTTTTTTTCTTTTTCCTGAGTGGGGCAGGTGCACTCACCAGTCCTGCACAGCATTGAAGGATTCCTCGTTAGTGATGTCATACATGAGGATGAAGCCCATGGCGCCCCGGTAGTAGGCTGTGGTGATGGTGCGGTACCGCTCCTGCCCTGCTGTGTCCTATGGAGAGACAGACTGAGGTCAGAGGGGACCTATACAGAAGCCCCTGTGGAGAGATGTGCTGAGGGTGCCCCAAAGACCCTCTCAGGCCCAGAGACATAGAGGGTCAGGAAAAGTAGACTGTGTAGCCTCTGTGCCAGGGTGCCAGTGCTCAGTTAATGTTCAAAATTGGGACTGTCAGTCACTGAACAAACAGCAGGTGTTGTCCTTACACCCCTCACCATGCCCTGTCTCAGACAAGAGGATTTACAGGGAGGCGCATGCCTTTAATCCCAGTACTCCAGAGGCAGAGGCAGGCGGATCTCTGTGAATTCAAGGCCAGCCTGGTCTACATAGTGAGTGCCAGGTCAGCTGGGGCTACAGGGAGACCCTGTCTCAAAAAAGACCAAAAAAGCTGGGAGCAGTGGTGCATGCCTTTAATCCCAGCACTTGGGAGGCACAGGCAGGTGGATCTCTGTGAGTTCAAGGCCAACCTGGTCTACATAGTGAGTTCCAGGTCAGCTGGGGCTACTGGAAGACCCTGTCTCAAAAAAAGACCGAAAAAAAAAAAAACCCCAAAACAAAAACAGAACTCCCTGCTCTTCTGGACAGCACAAACCACTGAGAGTCAATATTCTCCTTAGTGATCGTACACCAAATGCTGAAAAGGTCTGGGGAGAGAAGTAAAAGATGGATGACCTGGGAGGTGGCAGGGATACAGACTGAACGCATGACAGCGGGCTGGAGACTTGCTCAGTGGTTAAAAGCAGGCACTGTTCTCAGCACCCTTGTTGAATGGCTTAAAATTTCCTGGAACTCCAGATCCAGTGGCTCCAGTGACCCCTCAGGGTCTGCATGGGCACTGCACTCATGTGCACACACACAAATTATTAAAACTAAATCAAAAATAATTGTCAGACATGGTGGCACACACCTTTAATTCCAGCACTCTGGAGGCAGAGGCAGGCAGATCTCTGTGAGGTTAAGGCCAGCTTGGTCTACATAGTGTTCCAGGCAAGTGGGGCTACAGGGAGACCCTGTCTCAAAGAAAAGAAAAAAGAGGTGCAGAATGTTCCTGCTTCATGCCAAGTGCAAAGGCCCTGCCTGACACGGGCTGGCACCAGGTGTGAGGGCACAGCCAAGGAGAGAGTCTTGAACCAGGGCCTGGCCTTTTCCCTGCATGAAGTGGAGCCCAGGGACACTGGGGAGAAGGAACAGCTGTAAATGAGGGGTAACGGGCTCCTTCAGGCTGAGAGTAGGTGTCACCACATAGCTGGGGTCTCACACACAGGGAAGGGCTTGAAAATGACAAAAACCCATGGCCCAGGGATGCCTCTCTGTGCCTCACATCATACAGTAGGAGCAGGATAAATACAAAGCATGAATGAAGGAAAGATGGCTTTTCCCCTCCAGCCCAACACACCCAGATTTGTAGCTTGATCCTCTTGTCGTTTCGATAAATGGTCTTGACCTTGAAGTCGATGCCCACAGTGCTGACAAAGGCTGGCGTGAAGGAGTCATCCGCATAGCGGAAGAGAAAGGATGTTTTGCCCACACTGCTGTTCCCAATGATCAGGATCTTGAACATGTAGTCGAAGTTCTGGTCGGAGGATTCCTTCTGTCCATAGCGTGAGTCCGTGGCGGATGCCATCTGCAGGGCAGGGCATGAGTGCCTGAGGGGGACCCTGCATGGCAGCTGCTGGCCAGGTGAGCAGGATAGGGGCTGCACAACGTGACCCAGAGGAGGATCACCCTCATTCCATTAGCACCCATGATGTCAAGTGGGGTCCCCCAGCACAGACCAGACTGTGACCTTGACAGGTCCAAGTTTTCAAAGGCAGAGCTCAAGGACTCTGGGAAGGGGACTCCCCTCGGCTACCCGTCATCCCAAATCCCACTGCAATGGGAAGGGAGACCAAGGCGGGGCAGGCCTCCCTGTCAATCTGGTTGATCATGAAGGGGCGCACCTACAGGCGCATCCACATCTCCTGCCTCTCCCATCTCCTAGCCTGAAAGAATTGGGGCCCCAAGACAGCTGCATCACGTGACAGACGAGGGTCATGCGCAGGCTCACGTGCACGCATCTCCACGCACGCGCCCTCGAGACGGACAGACAGACCCCCCCCCCCCCCCACACACACACACACACACTCGCGCAGGCGCAAAACAACGTGCCCAGGACAGACCCAAATCACTGACTGGAAACACATACAAGACAGGTAAACACGCAAACACTCGGGAAGTGTGCAATCCTACGCGTGCGCATGGCTTCTTGCACCGATGCACAAGTGCACACGCCACTCACCCCTACACCAGTCAGGGTGCACTCTGCACCCAGCCACCCTGGAGTGCGCAGCGTGTAAGCGCCCGGCTCCACAACCCGCGCAATCGCACACATGAGCACAGACCCACGCGCACCGTGCACGCGCACCGTGCACGCACAAGGCTCCACTGGCGTGCACGGTGCGCATCCGGAGGTCACGCGAGCCTATCCAGGTCCAACGCACGCGCACGCACGAGCCTCCCGCAAGGCCCAGGCCTCTCCTCTCCCGCCGCTGCAAAGCCGGGCCCAGGTGGGTTACAGGATTTGCACAGGGATCCCAGTCCCGGGCGCGCTCGCCCTTCCCCCGCCACCTGTCAATCACGAGGCTGCGAGTTGTGGAGACCGTGGGACCCAGGATGCGCTCACCCTGCGGCTCCGAGCTGTGGCGACCCTCGCGGCGGCGACCTGGCTGCTCTGGCGACCCGGCCCCGGGAGCTGCGGTGCGGGCGGCGGCGAGGCTCCGGCCCCTGCAGTCCTTGCTGACGTCCTGCAACGCCAGGGGCGGGGCCTCTTATGCAAATGATGCTTGCATCACGTAGGGCGGGACCGCGCGGTGACCGAGAAGTCCCTATGGGCCAGCGCCAGCTTTGGAGGGGCGGGGCTTGAAGTGCGTGACGTGGAGGGCGGGGCTCTCTGATATTTCTATTGGCTTCAGTCCTCGAGCGACGGGATTGAGCACCCAATTAGCGCTCGGTGACGTCTGCGGCGGCCCAATGTCTGCTGCCAGGCGTTTGAAGGGCTGAGAGGCCGAGCCTAGAACTGAGCCCGGGTCTGGGGGCGGTTCCTGACACCGCAACTCAGCCCAGGTTGGGGCTACCGGAGTTGCTGGGCTGGTTAAGGGTCTCCGACCCCCAGTTTTAGAGACGCGGGACTGGACTAGACACGCTCCGGCCACCCCAAGGAGCTGGGGTTTTGTTTTGAGACCGGGTCTTACTTAGCCCAGTCTGGCCTCAAACTTGATTAGGCTGACCTGAGGATGACCTTGAAGTCCTGGGCCTCCTGCCTCAACCTCCCAATTGCAGGAATGACAGGCATGGGTCACCGGACCCATTTCGCCCACGTTTTAGGGCTCAAAAGACACATTAAAGGAGAGAAAAACAGAAGATCAAGAGAGACCTCAGTTCAATTCCAAATGTGCAGGAAGCCCTTCGCTCACCTAAGTTCGGGAAAGAAGTTGGAGCTGAGGCAGGCTCCACCCCAACCCCTCCTTTCCGGGGTTGAAAGAAATAATACGGGTCCACACAGCCACTAGGAGCTCGGGGAGAATCCCTGTCACTCCAGCACTCTGGAGGTGAAGGCAGGAGGATGAGTTCCAGTGACTGGCAAATCAGCCTGGGCTACTTGAGATCCTTAAATATTTGTCTCAAATATTTAAGAAATGGGCTGATGTAGCTCAGTTGGTAGTGTAAGCTGAACACAAAGTTCGGGGTTCAATTCCCAGCCCCACATAAACCACGTGGGGTGATGCACACCTGTCACCCCAGCATTCCAGAAGGGCATGTATTATGGAAGTAGAGCTTATCAGATGCTAAAGGATTTTACAATGTGATGATAATTAAGAACTCCTGGAATGGGGAGGTGAACAGGAATCTTCCCCTGCCCCCTATGGTTATCTAGGATAGAAGTCTTTGTTTTCCAAAGCTGTTACATTCCTATATAAAAAATTTGTTGCCTAAGGTTTTTGCATTCCTGTAACCCTTACATTTCTATTACCTTTGCTGCTCTGTAATCTTAATTACCATGTATAGGCTATGTACCCTTTGAGTATAAAAACCCTCCAAAACTTGAACATGGGGTGTGACTCCTTTGATTCCTGGTGTCAGTCCCCTAGTGTCAAACTTCCCCTCCTCACCTGTCTTCTGCTGTTGGTCTCTGATTTTTCCATAACAGATGCAGGATTAGGAGTTCAAGGTAATTTTGGCTACGTAGAGTTGAAGCCAAGATAGGGAATGAATGAATGAATGAATGAGAGCGCCAAATTCCCAGAAAGAAAAGAGGGGGGCTGCTGGGACCTCAGAAACAGCCTCGCTCCCCCGTCACTGAGGGCTCAGACGTGTCCTGTCCCTAAGTACCCCCAAACTTGCAACAAAAGACCCAGGAAGCAGAGTTTTGAGAGAGGCCCCAAGGCCTTCTCTGTGGACCCTGGGTCTGGGCTACCCTATGTCCAGGGAAGCAGGGTACAGAGAACCCAGGATTCAGGGTTCCTGAATACACTGCTGCAAATATGGGGGCCAGGGTGGGAACCGGTAGGCTGAGCGGGCCCCACCCAGTGTCCCAGCGGCCAGGGAGTCCCATCGCCTCTGGAGGTGGATCTGGGGACCTGTGTAGACAGCCGCCAGCTGCGGGGGCGCCAGGGACCAAAATAACTCTGCCTCCACCCTCGCCTGCCGCCCTGGGGAAATTCAGTCCTTTTTCTTCCCAAAGGGGTTTGACGTTCATCTCCCTCATACCAAGTGACAGGGGGAGAACTGGGAACAGAGAAACAAACACCAAAAGATGATCAGTTTGTTGTGTCGCGCACCCCGCCCACAGGGAGCCACAAGTGGGGACCTGGTGACAGGTGGGAAAGCATGGGCACAGGGAGGAGCTGAGTACTCCCACCTGGGTTTGGTGCATGTTGGGCACCCACAAATATCTTCGGATTAGTTTCAAGGGAGGGAACTGTGAGATTGTCTCTGCTCTGCCTTTAATTTCAAAATAAAAATGGGGGCTGGGGCTGGGGTCCCATTGGTAGAGTACTTGCAGCTGCTCAGCTGATAGCGTGCACCAAACCCTGGGTTCCCAGCACTGCAGACACCAAGCATGGGGAGACCTTCTGAACTTGGGGCACTGAGGCAGGAGAATTGTGAGTTCAAAATCATCATGGATGACATAGTTCTTACTGTCTCATAATTGCAATTTTTAATTTTTTAATGTTTTATTTTATTTGATCCTTTTTGAGACAGGGTCTCCCTGTAGCCCCAGCTGGCCTGGAACTCACTATGTAGACCAGGTTGGCCTTGAACTCATATGGATCCACCTGCCTCTGCCTCCCAAGTGCTGGGATTAAAGGCGTGTGCCACCCTGCCTGGCATGTATGCCAGAGCACCCGGGTTGTGCAATGCCCATGGAGGTCAGGAGAGGGCGGTGGATCTCCTGGAACTGGAGTTGTGAACATTTATTAGATGTCATGTGGGTGCTGGGAATCAAACCCCAGTCCTCTGCTAGAGCAGCCAGGGCTCTTAACTGCTGAGCACCCAAATTTTTTTTCCAAAATTTTTTTAAAGCATAGTTTATTTTAAACTGGCACACTGAAGCAAAGCAACCTACAGCACTGGGGGAAGCAATAGTTTTAATCTTTTTTAAAAAATATTTTTATTTTATGTGTATGCGTGTATTGCCTGCATGTAGGTAAGTGCACCCGTGTCCTGCAATGCCTGCAGAGGACAGAAGAGACTGTCAGATCCCCTGGAACTGGAGTTACGGATAGTTGTTAGCTGCCATGTGGGTGCTGGGATTCGAACCCGGGTCTTCTGCAAGAACAGTGTTCTTATCCACTGAGCCATCTCTCCAGCCCAAATAGTTTTAATTTTTAAAGTTATATTTGTTTTAGTGCATTTGTGTGCACGTGTGGAGTTTGTTCTCTCCTTCCACAGTATGGATCCTGGAGATGGAACCCTGGTCATCAGCAAGCCCTTTACACACTGAGCCTTCTCACTGCCCCAAAAGTTTATTTTCTCTCTGAATTTATGTGACTTCTAAATTTTCCAGAAAGGAACATATATTGCTTTGTAGGGAAAAGAAGGGGGGGGAGTGTAAGTAAAACCTTTAAGGGTTTGTCCTGTGTGAAAACCTGGAGTCACTGAAGCTGGTACCGCAGATGGCTTTTTGTGCCTCCTGGAGGTCTTCACACTGATGATGGTAATGAATGACTGGAATCATAATATTTACAGAGGACATCAAAATCCCACCCTGGATCCTTGGAGACCCTCCCAGGGTGCAGAGTTCCAGGCCACAGGAAGTGGGGCCAGGGAAGGACACTACAAGCAGATGATACCTGTCATCCCAGCACTCCAGAGGTAAAGGCAGAAGGACCAGGATTGCAGATCATCCTCAGTTACATAAGGAATTCAAGGCCAGCCTGGACTACATGAAAACTTATCTCAAAAAAGCCAAAAAAGGGTCAGGCATGGTGGCACACTCCTTTAATCCCAGCACTTGAGAGGCAGAAACAGGTGGATCTCTGTGAGTTCAAGGTCAGCCTGGTCTACATAGTGAGTTCCAGGCCAGCTGGAAAATCGGGGCTGGAGAGATGGCTCAGCAGTTACGAATACCAACTGCTCTTGCAGAGGACTGGGGTGTGATTCCCAGCCCCCACATGGTGGCTAACAACTGTCCATAACTTCAATTCTAGGGGATCTGACAACCTAATCTAACCTCCAAGGACACAGGTCAGTGTGCTTCCTAGGTAGAAGCTTTGAGAAAGCAAAATGGCCTGCTTGTGTCTGTTACCAATGAATTGAGCCTGACAGGGGCTCAATTGAGTCTGGACATGGAAACAAGGGCTTCCATGTGCTAAACTGAGTTCTACTTCTGAGCCAGGGCCCCAGACCCTCACTGGGGGATTCTAGGCAGGGGCTTTATCTCGGAGGCACGCTCCCAACCCCTTTCCTTTTTATTATTTAATTTTTTTTTGGTCTTTTTTGAGACAGGGTCTCCCTGTAGCCCCAGCTGACCTGGAACTCACTATGTAGACCAGGCTGGCCTTGAACTCACAGAGATTCGCTTGCCTCTGCCTCCCAAGTGCTGAGTGCTGGGATTAAAGGTGTGGGCCACCACGCCCAGCCCCTTTCCTTTATATTTCAAGCCATAGACTCCACTGCTGTGCAGCCTGGACCTCTTCATTGCAGGGCGTGCAGGCAGGCCGTGTCACCTCTACTAAAGCACTCATTTTCAGTAACTGAACACAATGCAGCATGAAAGGTTTAAGTCTAGAAATGTTTAATGCCCTCAAATGTATGAAGGTGTTTCAGGGCAGTCCCCACGAGCCCCCGCCAGCATTGAGCCGAGCATGTGAGCAGATGAGGAGAGAACCTGAAGCCTGGAGGGGCTGGGGTTTGTCAGTAAGGGTCAGCTGTCTGTCTGATCTGGAGAGGCTTGGGGTCAGAAAGCAAGGATCAAAAGACACTGTGAATGGGTGGGATTCATGCTTTTTTCTATTTTACAGGACAGAGGCCCCAGTGGCTAGACCACTGCTGTCCAGGACAGAGACAGTGACTGCAGGAGAGTGCAGTCAGCAGACAGTGCTACAGAGCACGTGCAAGTCCTGGTTCCGCCCCCAGCAAACTGCCCCTCCCCCAGCACAGAGTATCCCAAATTAACCTATGTGCAGGCAAAAGCTACCCCATCCTTTAGGATGGTGCTACAGGAGGACGCAGCCCCTCAGAGCACTGGTCTAGTCAATCCTGGGGTCAAAGTGGGTCCCAGCCAGTCTTTGAACTGGACACTGAGACCTGCCCATGCCTAGAATTGGGTTGACTACATAGAAGGGTAGTAAACAAAGCTGGGGCTGCCTGAAGCCACTTCCCAGAAGTTGCCAGCACCCATAGGTGCCCAGAGGGCTTGACTGTCCAAGCTGGGCTGGCCCAATCTTCTGGTGGCGCAGGGCACAGCCCAGGCATTGGGCCAGCCAGTGGGAGGAGAGGAGCTAAGTGCCAGGTGACTGACTCTAAGGATCCCCTACTTAGAGCTGATTCCTCCTCCCCCTCCTCCTCCTCCATCCCCCTCCCCCACTCCCTTAGTCTCTTCTTCCTCTTCCTCTGCCTCCTCCAGGGTCAGCTCAAACTGGAACCTGTCTGGCGCTCCTCTCTCAGAGCTGATGGAGTCAGGGCTGCAGGAGATCCTGCTCTGGTACCATTCTCTGTTGTCTTCCAAGGTATCCAACAGCCCCTGAGCGTCCGGGTGCACCAGGTCAGCCCATGTCTCCCATAGGGGGTGGGCGATGTAGTCAATGAATCCCACCTGTGGGGGTGAGCAGGGCAGGCACAGTGAGTCCCAGTAACCCCACCAGCAGCCCCACTGCTGTGCCATGGCTACACTGAGCTCTCTGCCTGGAATGGTTTGCTTCTCAATTCCTATTCATCCTTTAAAACTGTCTTTTAAAAACCCATCCTGGCTGGATGTTTGGTGCCTTTAATCCAGCACTCAGGAGGCAGAGGCAGGCAGATCTCTGTGAGATCAAAGCCAGCCTGGTCTACATATCAAGTTCCAGGCCAGTTTGGGCCACAGGGAGACCCTGTCTGGAGAAGAAAAATAGTAATAAAAACACCACCCTTCTATCACAGAGGGCAGGGTACCATCTCCAACACAGGAAGCGCAGAGAAGCCAGGCCCTTCCTGTCTAGCTGGCTGGCCGCAGTACCAGCAGGTACCTGGGACTTCTCCACTGAAGCCGTGTGCTTGTCGCACATGGGGCTGATGTCCAGGCCCGACTCACGCTCACGGTCACCCTGCTGAAAAAACTCAGCCATGATGCGCTCCGTCCACTGGCGATACAGAGGCAGCGGCTTTGTGGGGTTGCTCAGGTCTGCGCAGTGCACTAGGCTCTGTAGGACCTGAGGGGCCAAGGCTTAGGATGACACAGGCCAGGCCAGCCACCCCAAAGCTTATCACACTCATAAAAGGCTTGGTGCTAAGGATACCCCATCTTCCAGGCAGGAAGGGGCTTGGGAGAGAAAGAAGCAGCTAAGTAAGATATGGGACACATCCTACAGACTGTTTCTACTGGGGTATACAGTCATCACTCCATAAATGCAGCTAGTTAAGAACTGAGGAAGCCAAGCACAATGACACACTCTTGTTATCCTAGCTCTTGAGAAGCTGAGGTAGGGAAATGGTGAGTTTCAGGACAGGCTAGCTCGAAAATGGGGGAGGCCTGGGGTGGTGGCACACCCGGGGTGGGTGGCACGCCCGGGGTGGGTGACATACCTGGATGCGGTCAGAGTAGTTGTCCAGCAGCAGGACGCCCAGACTCGTCACCTTCTTTGTCTCCACCATGGTCTTGAGGTCAGCCAGGAGATTCATGTGTTTAGACATATCTGTGGCCAGCACCTGGGACAGGCCAGGGAGGGGACGGGCATGGCACACTTCCACGCTGCCCTGGCTCAGACCCTCAGTCCCTCAGTGTTCCCATCTGTGAGCTGGAAGGGCTGGATGAAGGGTTGCTAAGAGGCTGGGGACCACAGCCACAGGAAAGGGAAGAGACTTCAGGGAAGCCAGGCTGCCACACCAGGTGCTCATAAGAACCATGGGAGCTGGGGGAGGAGGGGTTCATGAGGTAGATGGCCTGGGGGGCGTGGGGACCACACAGCAGGGCTTAGAGCTGAGGAGAGACCTGATTGGGGTTCTGTGACATCCCTGTATCCCCCAGAGGGCTGTTTTCCTAACCATTTGGAGGAAAGGTCAACCCTGGCCTCAGCTGTTTAAATTTTATGTATTTATTTTAGTGTTTTTGAGACAGGGTCTCCCTATAGCCCCAGCTGGCCTGGAACTTGCTATGAATCCCAGGCTGGCTCGATCTCTGCGAGATCTTCCTGCCTCTGCCTCCCAAGTGCTGGGATCAAAGGCGTGCACCACCACGCCCAGTGCCTTTATTTATTTTTAAGTGTGTGAGTGTTTTGGATGCATGCGTGTAAGAGCACCCATGTATACACCTGCAGAGGCTGGAAGAGGGTGTAGGATCCCCTGGAATCAGAGTTACAAATAATTGTTGGCTGCCATGTGGGTGCTGGGAACTGAATTCAGGTCCTCTGCAAGAGCAGCCAGGACTCTTAACCGTGGAGCTATCGCTCCATCCCTGGCTCAAGTGTTCAGAAAGCAAATTAACAAGTCAGATGCAGTGGCACCTCTTGTGACCACAGCAGGAGGTGGAGGCAGGAGAAACAAATTACCCAAACCAAAAACAGTAACAGTAACCAAAAAAAGGAAAAATAGAGGGCAGAAGTATCTGGGTCTCTGTCGCTGGTGGAGTACACAATAAGTGCTCAAATGCCTGTTGAATTTATAAATTAAATATGAGACCCCAAAACCTCCTGATTTCCCACCCAGTGGGATGTGGTCAAATGGACAAACGGGCTTCAGGCTTTGAAGAAGTTGCCTGTTTCCCTATCACCCTGGGAGGCGAAGAGGGTTGTCATTCCCATCATGCCCTGTGCAAAAGGAGACCCCATCTTTTATTTTATTTATTTTTATTTTGTGTGTATGTGTGTATTGCCTGCATGTAGGTAAGTGCACCCGTGTCGTGCAATGCCCGTGGAGGACAGAAGAAGCTGTCAGATCCCCTGGAACTGGAGTTACGGACAGTTGTTAGCTGCCATGTGGGTGCTGGGATTCGAACCCGGGAGGAGACCCCATTTTTTCCATTAAGGTCCTGACCCCACACCGTGAGGGTACCATGTCGATGACCATCCTGCGCAGACTCAGTCGCTGCTTGGCACTGAGCTTCTGGAAGATGTCACAGTTTTCTCCTTGTAGTAGTTTGAAGCCCACCGCTAGGTGGTGGTTTTCCAACACTGAGATGTCATTGTACATGAGTGCCAGCTCTGCGTCTGTGGGGACAGCCATGAGCCTGAAGGCACCCCTCCCCCCAACTCTCCTGACAGCACTCTACCAAAGGCATCTGGGGACGGGAAGTCACTGGCAAAGTCCTAGGCATGCACTGAAGCCCCAGCTCTCATGCCCCTTCACAATGCCACCCTCTGAGTTTTTAGGGTTGTCTTGGGCAGCTCTGTCTACATCTTCACACTCACTGGTGTTAATGAGAAACTGATTCGAGACCCCAGGGTGGTCCACATCGTGGATGGCGCTTGCAAAGATAGCTGCTAAGACTTCCAGATCTGTGAATACAGCCTGAGCCAGTCCCACAGGTCAGGATCGAGGGTGACTCTTCTCCCCCTAGGTGCCCCCCATCCCCCATTGGGCCCAGTACCTCCAGGGCGGGCATAGCCAGCAGCACGTGTGTGGACTGTACCACATCCGCAGCATGCAAGCTGTTGTGGTACGCCACGTCAGCGTGGTAGTGACCCTCCAGCGTCAGCAGGTAGGTGACCAGTGTGTCCACTGGGATCTGGAATGTCTTCAGCAGGTCCCGTTCCTGGCCCATCACAGATGTCAGTCAGGGTCGGCCTCTGGGCTCTAGCACTGCTCACCCTCCCTTCTTCTGAGCTCCTGTCCACCCCTCGACGCCCTTCCTCCAGGACACACTTGTTCCCTTGAGACCCTGAACTCTCCCATGGGTCAGGTCTATGTTCCTTCCAATTTGGGTCTTTTTCTGGGCCAGGACCAGTGCTGACCTTATTACAGATGAGCTAATCCATCCAGTGAACTTCTAGTCAACCTTCAATATCCCGCATTCAAGTGTTCCCACTTAGGAGTACCAGGGAAGGACTGAGGGATGAGTGAGTGTCCTGAGGCCTTGGGGTGGGAAGGGGGAGGCGCCCCAGGGGCTAAAGTCCAAAGTGGGGGCAGTACCTGGAAGATGCTGAATATGACGGCGGTGAGTGGCCGGTTCCCACTCAGCTCGGCCACTCTAAACACATCCAAGCCCCACTTGTTGGTATCCTCCAGCTCCTACGAGGGAACCAGACCCAGCCTTGCCCAGTGCAAGCCTCAGTTTGCTCCATGAGCCTCACCTGTCCCATGTGCAGGTGGGGAAACTGAGGCTTTAGAAAGAGCATTAAAATGTGGCCACAGCTTTGGGGAGACCCACCTTAGCCAGCTGCCCCTCCTGGTCCGTCTGGACTCCGAAGCGAGGGACAGTGGCTGTGGGGAGGTTGACATCATGGTGGAGCCCACACAGGCCACTGATCTGTGACATGGGCCATGGAGCATCCTCAGGGACCAGTCCATGCAGCTCGACCTCAGTAGGCTGGTCTGCAGGTGAGGCAGGACCCTCAGATATGTTATCACCCCCAGATGCCTGCTGGGGTGACCCTGCCTGATGTCAGGTCCTAGATCTAGCCTCAACTAGCCCCACCCTTTACCTGGGCCCCTCTGCTGTGTTCTGTCTGATCCTGTATCCCATTTGCTGTATCCCTGGGGCTACACATATTCCCCCAAACAATCCCTTGTCCTTAAAACTCAAGGGTTGGGTTCCTTGGCAAACTCCTACTCATGCTTCAAAACCCTAGCTGTCATGTCCCTTCCTTCTGAAAGTAATCCCTGTTCATCCCTTTCCTCCAGCCCTGGCCCTGGAGCTAGGTGTGGCCACTCCTGCCTCTGCCTCCTCCACACATCTGTAAGGGAAATCTGCCAGTCTTTCCCTTCTTATGCCCGGTGCAGTGTCCAGTCGGCTCACCCAGGAAGGTCTGGGAAATGTACTCAGACACCTGGTTCCCCGAGCGGCTGGCTTCAGACAGGTGGGTCAGCTCACGGTTGAGCATGCGCTTGAACTGTGGGGAAGGAAGGACAGTGAGGATAGGAGCATGGTGAGCAAGGCTGGTGGGCAGCCAGGGACTCAGCCTCACCTTGTTGGAGGCCATGTCTGCCACCGAGTGCTGTGTCTGCAGCGTGTCCAGCTGCTCCAGGCACCAGTCCAGCTCCTCCAGCGTCTCCCTCACCAACTGAGGCCCAGCATCCTCTGGGAGCCAGGCAGATCAGGGCTCAGTTCAACCCTGTGCCCCTCAGGCCCCCATCTGCACACTTCAAGGCCATCCCAAGGGTCCTCAGAACTGCTCTCAGTTCCTCAGCTGCCTGCAAGTGTCTGTGTGACTGCGGGTTGGCTGATGACCCTCTCTAGGGCTCGGCTTCCCTTTGTGTGCAGGGAGACTCGGGGTGTAAGGGTGCAGTTGGGGGTTGAAATGGGGTAACAATGAGCCACAGTCCAAGGGCTGGATGGGAAGACTCACACAGAGGCACCAAGTGTAGAGAACAGGGCGGTGGGAACAGGTGCATACCTGTGGGGGCAGCACACTGGTTGCTGCATGGAGGGGTCCCCAGAAGCACCTGCCTGTGAACAGGGATGCTTAGGGGTGGTCCACCCTGCCCCCGGTCATCCAGGACTGCCTATCCATGCCCTGACACCTCTAGGCCCTGTCCCCCTAACAGCCACAGACCTCACCCCGCACCCCCTCCTCCAGCCCCGCCTCCAGCTCCTCCAGCCCCCACTTCCCAAACCCCACCCCCCTCCTCCAGCCCCCCCATTCCCAAACCCCACCCCACTCCTCCAGGCCCCACCCCTCCTGCCCGCCCTCTTGGTACCTGGCTGCCCCAAGGCCTAGATCAAGGGCCAGACCTGCCACGTTGCTGCGGACTGTCCTAAGACTGGCCAGGACCTGTGTCGAGGGTGATGCACAGCTGTGAGGGTGCAGATCCCCCTGCCTGCTCGTGGGCAGGGAGGGTAGGGGACACCCACCTGGGCGAAGGGCGTAACAATCATATCTTCTCCATGTCTGTGGGGATAGGACCATCACTAGGACAGCTCCAGTGAACCCTCTCCCCTCAGGACTCCAGCCCTGGGCCCTTCTGGTTCTGGCTTTCCCTGAGAAACCCAGTCTCTCCAACCAATCCCTCATTTTATCCACATTTTATAAAGGGGAAACTGAGTCCGAAGGGCAGTAGGGGTCTTCATAGGGTCAGGGCAGAAATGATTGCTTCCCTTTTCATCACAGACACTAGAGAGCTCAAATCAAAGTACTTGTTCAATTGCTGCTCCTTGGCCTTAATGTTCCTGGATTAATGTTCCGCCTCTGTCCCCAACCTAGATAGGCTAAGCCCACAGATCGCTGATAATCATTTGCTGCCTGCTGGTCATAATAAAGTTAATTGCCTGGAAACTCCTACTTAAACTTCAAAACCTCACTTAAAGGCTCTCTCAAGAGAATTCTCTAAGTGGAGGAAGGGGACTCACAGGTCGCTGGCCACAGAGGAGTTCCGGGACATGGACTTAGGTGAAAGTTCATAGTCACTGTCAGAGCGGTATAGGAAGGATTCCCGCCGCTGGCCGTGCTGGGCAGGGGCCCGGAGGACCCGGCCAAGGCCAGGCCCCGACTGAGGGTCCAGGATGCTCCTGCCACACGGAAGTCCATTTTCCAGTTCAAAGCTGAGGTCAGGGACAGAGGAGGTGACGGTCAGAGAACACGGATGCCAATAACGGAGGCGGCCGTGTGAATATTCCCCGCGTCCTACCTGGGATACACCGGCCTGGAACCCCACACCCCTCCCACCTCCATCCCTGCGTGTCTACCCTGGGATTCTTCTTGCTGGGGTCTAGACGGTGGGACCTGAGTCCCATCCATTCCCACAAATAGCCGTGTCACTAGGAGAGCAGCTTTTCTCTGCACCTCCGCGCTCTCCCTAATGTGGGCGTGGTTATCCACCCTCAAGCGTCCAGGGTTGCGGTACCTCAAGCAGGCGCGGAAGCCTGCCTGAACCTGAACCGCTTCCGTCTCAAAGACTGCTGGCAAGCAAGAAGTCCCATGCCCACATCTTAACCACGCCCCAAACCTTGAGGTCCCGCCCAGTCTATAGGCCCCGCCCATTCAAGTAGGCCACGCCCCGCGTGGATGTCAGGGCCTTTACACTGGCTGCTCCCGCCTGGCGGTCACTTGGTCGCTTGCTTTGTGACCTTTAACTCCGTCCTGATACTGAGTTTGAGCTCCAACCGTCTGCCAGAGCCAGGCCAGTCGGGTGGGGTGAGTTCTGCCCTATTCGCTATTTCCGACGACGTTTGGGTGGGTTCGGATAAATTCGTGCATCTTCGGGTCAGTCCGGCCACATTCGGCTTTCTTGGGCCAGGTTCGGCATCCTCGGCTTAGTCTGACTGCACTTGGATGAGCTCGGTTGTGCTCGGCCTATTCCGCGTGATTCCGTCCGTTAGGTCAGGTGGGCGGAGGTTAGCCCCTCTTCCCCTGCCCCAGGCCCAGGGGCCCCATGGGGTCCACTTGATCTCCGCAGAGGACACCAGCTGGGGCCGGATACCCCATGTTTGCCACCCAAGGCTAAAAGCCTGCCGTGGCGACCCCGTTTCCTCTCCTACCTAGGGAAAACTGGAGAAACCGAGGCAGGTGCTGCCACAAGGTTCTGGATTCGAATCCAGCCCTGGGCGCCGAGAGCTAAGGGCTGGCGGGGTGCCTGTAGCCAGTAGGCCGTATTTCTTTCTACTCTAAACTTAGCCTGGGTCGGCAGGGTCAGGCGTCTGTTCCATGACGCGCGCAGCCAGGAGCAAGGTCGGCATCCAGGCTGTGGGAACAGCTCTGCGGTCAGTGGACCAGACGGGTAAACTGAGGGACGAAGCGGGGAGGGGACTTCGGGCCCAGGTTCAGGTCCAGCTTGCTAAAAACGTGTGGTCTTTGCCCACCTCGCTTTGGGGCGTCCCCACCGCATCGTCGAGAGGAACTGCTCTTGGCGCCACTGGAGACCCAGGTCCTGAGGCTCCCCAGGACCACGACCGCCCTTTCTAAGGGCCACAGTCACGCTTCCGCGTTCCCCCTGCCTGTCACTAACTGATTATGTGACCCTGAGACAGGGACGTCCGGTCTCTGATGCTATACTCACTGAGCATGCAGTCGGAGCAAAATGAATGCACGGTGCTGGCCACAGTCAGCACTCACAGGTCCTGGCCTCAACCGCGATCTAAATGCTCAGCCCCACGAGGCCACCGACGCTTTGGCACAGGCAAGAATTCGAACTCGGGGTGCAATCCCGGGACCCCACCTCACCTTCAAAGCCCTGTCCGACCCGCAACCCCGACCCTGGAGCAATCCGTCTTCCTCCCGTGCTCTCGGGATTCAGGGTGGGCCAGGGTCCCGAGGTGGCTGGCGAAGGTGGACATGGTCCAGAGCGTGCCCCTCCTCCTCCCCAGGCCAGCAGGGTCAGGAGGAGACCTGCGGGTCTGCACAGGGACCTTGGGGCCAGCGGGCTGGTCCCCTGAGCGGACATCGAGGCTGAGTGGAGGGGACAGACAGTCACAAACTGAGAGGCCAGGCGACGGGGAGGAGGCGGGACGGGCAGGACGCCTGACCCCAGCGTGGCTGCAGCTGCTCCTGCCTGTCACCTACTCCCCATCCGGTCCCCTCACCACAGCGGATGGGCCACGGTGAAGCGGCGCTGCAGGTGGATGCTCTGGTTCACCAGCAACTTCCGGAAGAGTGCGGGAGAGCCGCGCCGGGACCCCAGTGGGGAGCCAGGCGTCGTGGGGCCCTGCATGGTGCGGCCGGGGCTGGACGAACTCAGTGCCCCGCCTTTTTAGCTGCGCGGGAGGGGAGGGGGCGGAGCTGGGGACGCAATGGAGGGCCAGGTCCCGCCCACGTGTAAACAATCCTGACCCACGCGCCTGGGGAAAGCTAACGCATGGTATGCCTGCGACTCTAGTCTCTACTAATTTATTTTGACTTATATATGTTGACTTTTGCCCTCTTTTTAGACAGTACCTCACATAGCCCAGGCTAGCTTTGAACTATGTAACCCAGGGTGACCCTGAACTCGTGGCAATCCTCCTGCCTCAGTCTCCCAAGTGCTGGAATGACAAGTGTGTGGCACCAAGCCCTGGCATTCAGGTTTTGGTCTTGGGTCTTTGTTGTTACTGTTTTGTTTTTGTTTTTTTTTGCTTGTTTGTGGGTTTTTTTTGTTTTGTTTTGAGACAGGGTCTCCCTGTAGCCCCAGCTAGCCTGAAACTCACTAAGTAGACCAGGCTGACCTCAATCTCACAGAGATCTGCCTGCCTGTCTCCCTATTGTTTTTGTTTGTTTGCTTGCTTTGGTTTTAGTTTTTTTGAGACAGGGTCTCCTGTAGCCAAGCTGGCCTCAACTCAGAGGTAGCTGAGGATGACCTTGAACTCCTGATCCTCCTGCTTCAGCCTCCCCAGTGCTGGGATGACAGGCAAGTGACAACATGCCTGGGGAAATGCCAGGGGGCACCCTGGGGACTGTGGTTTTCTGCTTCTCACCCTGTTGGTCTCACCCTGGACCTGGGACTGGGCTGAAACTGCAGAGTCGGGACTGGGCTGAAACTGCAGAGTCGGAGGAGTCAGATGGTGTGGTTAGGCAAGATGGTGTGGTTGGGCAGGGCTGCCATTCATTGCTCCAGAGGCTGAGACAGGAGGATTGTCATGAGTTCCAAGGCAGCCTGGACTACAGAGTGAGACGTTGTCTCAAAAAGAAGAGTCATTGTCAAGCATAGTGGTGCACGCCTTTAATCCCAGCACTCAGGAGACGGAGAAAGCAGGCAGATCTCTGTGAAATGAGGCCAGCCTGGTCTACACAGTGAGTTCCAGGCCAGCAGGGTTGCCTAGTGAGACTCTGCCTCAAAAACAAGAAAAGGCTGGGCAAAGTGGCACACACCTTTAATCCCAGGCGGATCTCTGTGAGTTCCAGGCCAGCCTGGTCTACATAGTGAGTTCCAGGCCAGCTGGGGCTACTGAGAGACCCTATCTCAAAAAGACCAAAAACAATTTAAAAAAAAGAGGGAAAAGAGGGACTGGAGAGAAGGTTCAACAGTTCAGAGCATGGGCTGCTCTTGAAGAGGACCCATGTTTGGTTCCCAGCACCCATGTGGAGGCTAACAACCATTTGTAATTCCAGGTCCAAGGGATCTGACAGTCTCACCTCCATGGGCATCACAGGACATGGGTGCACTCACATACATTCAGGCAATACACTCATGCACATAAAATAAAAATAAGTAAATTTTTAAAAATGTTAGCTGAGGAGAGGAAGGGTGGCCCTGGGAAACCCCATCACTGCCCCCCATGGGCAAGGGGCGTTCTGGAGACTTGGGGTTTGTAGGGACACTGTGTTCAAAACGGCACCAATCGCCTCAGTGGAAGGAGGAGCTAAGCAGTAAGGCCCTGGACAAAAATGAGAGGCAGTATAGGTGACTGGAGGCTAGCCAGGAGGAGAGCACGTGAGCACCTCGTGATCACCATAGTAGTACATTGAAAGGAGCCTCCGTGATCTACATGACCTTCTACAGGATTGGAGGATGAGTTCCCGCCTGTGCTAATGATTGTGGTTCTTGCCCTTATAAGCTCTGTAAACGCTTGCAATAAAGGAGTTCCTGCCTGACTAAACTTCCTGCTGCGTCTGAGAGTCTCCCGGAGGCGGGCGAGCAGCGCACTTACCCCTCCTCGGCCCCCATCGCTGAGCCCCACGTCCTGACTCGCTGGCTGGATGGAGGCGCCACATTCTGGTGCCCCGTGTGAGGAACCTTTTACGGAAAAGTTCCTGGCCGAGGCCAATCGGGCTCTCGGGGTAAGTGAGACCCTCAGCATGGGTAGCTCAACTTCAGGAAAAAGTGACCCAGCCTTAAAGGCTCTTCGATATATGCTTCAAGAGCCGAGACTTGGAGCTCTCTGATCAGGCGGCGCCAGGTCTGGGAGACAGTGACGCTTTTGGCGCCCCGAGTGTCTGCCCCGGGATGCGTGGAGAGGGTGGAGAGGCTGGCAAGAGAGAGGGAAACACTTTGGGGCAGAGCCCCCGTTGGGGTTCTACCCCACGATGTTGGCCCTTAAGGGACCTTCAGTGAGGGAGATCCCCTGCCTCGGCGGTGCGGGGGACAGTGGGGGAGGGGAAGGAAGGGCTCGAGGGAGACGGAAAAGGAGCCAGACCCTGGGGCGTGGGCGCAGTTTGATGAAGAACAGAAGGAGCAACGCTGCCGAAGGCCCGTGGGAGCGCTAGCCGTAGGTGTTAAAGCAAGATTGACAGTCGAGGCCAAGGAGGAGACCAAAGAGGCTGACGGGTCGGTGAGAGAAATCGGGGGAGAAAGAGAGGGGGAGGAGCAGCCCCCAGTCTATCGGTCAGGCCATTCACATGAACCCCTCCGCTGGGACCACGACCCCCGGCCGCCAGGATAGAGGAGATGGGTGGCAGGAGACGCTTTCCAGGAGAGAGTGCCGGCGGAACCCACCCCTGCCTGTAAGGCGTTCCGGTAAACTTGGTTCCTTGGTTCCTGGCAGCAGATTGGTATCCATGGGAACCTAAGGACCTTAAGGAGTTAAGGGCCGCAGTCCTCATTGACGACCACAGTTCTCCTTGGGCCGAGGCCTTGGTGGAAAACATCGCCCACCAGCCAGGCATCCCTAGGGATTGGACTGATATGGCTAAG